TTTCGGCGAAGATGGGGGAGCTTGGGGTGGCGAATCCAAAAGGCAACGACCCGTCGAAGGAGGCGCGCGAGGGTTTCGGGTCGGGGTGGAGATCTCGTTCGCCGCCTGATCTGGGTTCGATTAAGGCAGAGTGTTTGACAGCGGCGGAGGAAGCCGCGGAACAAGTGTTGGACTGCGTGCACCCCACGCTTGACTCTGAGGAGAAACGACGAGACGTCGTTGATTACGTTCAACAACTCGTCCAAAACCGTCTTAATTGCGAGGTAATTAATTAATTTTTTTTTAAAAAAAAAATTAATGTTGGATTATTAATTTTATTTTGAGTTGATTATTGAGACTTTATAATTTTCATGTGTGCATGCCTGTGGAAGGTGGTGGAGTTCCAGTTCTTTTAAGCTTTTACTTGTAACACTTTCTCATCGTTTAGGCTCATTTGTGAGTATGCCAACGAGATGGTGGATACTATTCGAATAAATTATTCTCTTTTGTGTTTGGTGTGATGCGTGAAGCTACCATTTGTATATTGGTGTCACCAGCTTTTGGGAATATACTCTGTTATTAATAGTTGATATGTACATATTTGAGGAATCATTTCGGTAGTTTGGTTGTCGTGTCCAGGATTGTGTGCATGGCATTTTTAATGATTTTGACACTTTAATAAATAAATATTGCATTGTGGAAAAGTGAAACTCGTACGAATTCTTAGATTCCATAGTATTAGTATCGGGTCGAGTTATATCTGAATTGGGTGTTCTACTTTGCCATATACGAAAAGCCGCTAGCGTCACAAAAATTGTAAAGTGCCAGGGCAAAATCAGTATGTTTGGATATGACAATATCCAGATTGCAGAGAAAATGGGGCCTTAAAGTCGGTATATCTTTGGTCTTTGGGTCAATTTATGGAACATATTTTAAACTTTAACATTAATATAGGCGCAGTTGAAAGTATATCGTAGTGGGGAGTGGCTTTATGCGACTGACAAATTTTTGTGCAAGGGGAATATTGGTAGCCTGTTGTCTCTGCTTTTTCCAGCAGAAGAAGAATAATGAAAAATTAGAAATACTATCTCTGAAGAAGAGAACAAACCACCATCAGAACATGTTGAGATATGACTATTTTTCTCTATCCTTCTTAATTTTCTGAGTTACGTTATTGAAGTATTTATGTGTGAGGTTCTTGGAGTTGATCTTGATATTTTATTATCTGATATGATGACGGTGATTTTGGGTGGTGCTATGCTTTCCTACTTTCTTATAGTTGTTCCAAGGTAATTAAATAAGGAAATGCTTCTCACAAGAATCAGTATCACTATCTTTTATCTCCAAAAGGATGTTTCTCGGTTCATTTTACTAGCATCCTTGTTTTACAAGATGGATCATGAAGCTAGTGAAGAATTTGTCATTTATGAGTATATTAATACTTGTGAATGAACAGGCCATCTTGTAGTTTTTTATGTGTTCAGTTCATCAGTTGTATAAGGCTGATAAGGCTGACAGCTTGTTGTTCATCTCAGGTAGTTTCCTATGGTTCAGTTCCACTCAAGACATACCTACCTGACGGTGATATTGACTTGACTGTCCTCAAAGGCCCGAATGCTGTTGAATCTTTGGCCCACGATGTCCTAGCTCTTTTACAGGATGAAGAGCGGAATGAAAATGCAGAATTCCAAGTAAAGGAAACACAATTTATTGATGCTGAGGTAGTCCGCATACAGATTGTCATTGCTTTTTTGTATACTCAGTTTGCTGTTTGTTGCAACTGCACCAACCTATCATCTTGAGTTTAAAACTTCCTCTGCAGCCAAACCATCTTTTCTTTTGGACTTCAGATCCTATGTACACTTGTAGAAGTTGTATAGTTACCAAATATCACAGCTTGTGTAATATGTGGGCACTTTGAGATGTTTATAACTTGTATGGCTCTATATCTCTAAATAAGTAATGCAAAAGCTTTTACATATGTTCATTTGTTTCAATGTTTTTTTCTTTTTATTTCTAAAACTATTAATGTGACGCTAGTTGTGATTATGGTCCCAAATTGAGGGGTGTGTCCCATTTGAAGTATTGTTTGTTTGTTTAGAGGTCATTGTTAGGAAACTGCTAAAAGCGTGTTGTATAAGTAGTTGTTTGGTTAATGACTCAAGTGTACTTTTCTTTCTATGTTTGTGATGTCTGGTGAGGTTTTGAAATCATTATTCATTAAGTCTTGCTTTTGATGGCAGGTTAAACTTGTGAAATGCTTTGTGAGGAACTTTGTAATTGATATATCCTTCAATCAGTTAGGTGGACTTTCTACACTGTGTTTCCTCGAGCAGGTAGCAATTCAACTTCTGTTTTCCGGAAGCCAGTACTTCAGGTTTTATTGGAGGCTGGTTTGATGCGTTGCTATACACGTGACTACAAGTGCATTCCTCTTTTTTATCTTTTTTTTTTTTT